TCCAATTTCTGGTTTGTTTCTGAAGGTGTGACGACAATCTTACAATTCAACAACTCAAATCTCTTCAAACGTTGAAGTTTATACTTCAGCTGATGCAAAATTTTACCTTTTTCATAGTACATAATCTCCATCCCTAGAAAATGTGTCATATTTCCTAGATCAATCATTTCAAACTCATTCATTAGCATCTTCTTGAAATTATCTATCTCATGTCCACAAATCCCTGTTAACAATATGTCATCATAATATAGACATATCAAACTCATGTTGCCTTCAGAAGTATGGTGAACATAAACTCAACACTCCATCTCACACTTTTTGAATACTCGGAGTTTGTAAATTGAATCAATTTTCAGATTCCAAGCTCTAGGAGCGTGTTTCAGTCCATACAACCCTTTACGTATCTTGTACACCATCCCTTCCTGATTCTTTTTCATAAACCCATGAGTTGTGACACGTATACCTCTTCTTGCAATGGACCGTTCAGAAATTCACATTTTACATCCATATGTATCACAGAACAATTTCTATTTGCAGCTATAGCAATCACCAATCTGATTGTTTCCTATCTAATTATAGGCGCAAACACTTTAAAGTAATGTAACCCAGATTTCTGTAGAAACCCTCTTGCTACTAACATTGCTTTATGTTTGCCAATTGATCCATTTGGCTTCAGTTTCACCTTGAAAACTCATCTTACCCTGATGGACTTCTTTTTCTTTGGAAGCTCAGTCAACTCCCAAATCTTGTTTCTTTCTATAGCCTCAAGTTCTTCTTTCATGGCCTTCAGTCAAACTTTCTTCTCGAGAGCTTCTTTTGTACTCACTGGTCCAGAGTCTACTAACATGGCGCACTGAATGACTTCCCCTTCAAAGTCTATTTTAGTATCTTGCACTATGTTAAACTCTACAAATCTTCTTATAATGTTTTTGATTCTGTGTGGCCTCTAAACATGTTCAGAATTTTCTTCAGACGCTGGAACATTATCATATGCTAGAATCCCAGAAGTACCACCTTTAGAGGCATGACCACCTTCAGAGTCTGGAATATTCCCAGAGTCCGGATCACCACTAGAGTTTGAATTACCATCAGAATCTATATTAGAACCATATTCACCTTCAGAGTCAGACTTGCTTTCAGTATCAGAGTCACTTTCAGACTCTGACTCATCTTTAGACTTCAAATCTCCTTCAGAAGCAAATTCTTCTCTAGACTATGAAATATCTTCAGAAGTTAACTCGGGTGTTAACATCGCGCCAGAGTTGGATTGAGACTTGTTCTAATCCGGCGCTTCTGATTCTTTCATAATGACATATATGTTGAATTCAACCTTATTAGTGACATGATAATAGAGCTTATAAGCACATGTACTGTGGTATTCTACAAGCAACATGACTCTGCTTTTGTCATCCAATTTCCTTCTCTTCGCATCTGTAACATATTTGTAACAAACAGAACCAAACACCTTCAAATGGCTCACACTTTTCTTATCTCTAGTCCACTTCTCTAAAGGAAAATTTTCCTTTAGCTTCTTGGTTGGACACCTGCTTAGCACATATGCTTTAGTGGTAATAACTTCTCCCTACAAGATGTGAGTGAGTTTCTTCTCCTTCAACATGCTCCTTGTCATATCAAGCAAAGTTTGGTTTCTTCTTTCACCAAGACCATTGTGTTGAGGAGTGTATGCAGCAGTAACCTCATGCTCAATTCCATTATCCTTATAGTATTTTCTGACCTCTGTATATTTATACTCACCTCCACCATCAGTTTGAGAATCTTTAGAGTCTGGCCACTCTGATTCTCAGCCTTGATTCTGAATTTCTTAAATTCAACAAACACATCGTGTTTTAACTTTATAAGGGATACCCACGTCATCCTTGTGAACTCATCTACAAATGACACAAAGTATTTATTCCCTCCAAGTGAAGGTACTTCAAATGGTCCACACACATTAGAATGTACTACTCCCAAAACATGCTTTTCTATTAGGGCTACTTCTAATGCAAATGGCAATCTAGGTTGCTTACCTTTTATGCACATCTCACATGACTTCTCAGGCGTGACAATCTTGAGAATGCCATATACCAACTTCTTAGAATTCAGATGCCATAAGCTTCTGAAATTAAGAAGCCTCAATCTTTTATGCCACAACTCACTGTCACCTTCAGTGCATTCTACACTAAGGCGTTTAGTTTCAATTGTCTCCACATTCACCTTGAATGTTATGGTTCTTCTATACTCATTGCTTATGATATTTCTTACCAAAAGTTGCTTTCAGAGCCTACTGCTCTATCTCTATTTCAAAATTTCTCTTAGTCAGACGCAACTCTTGCGCCTCTATATTGCTTTGTAACTCTTCAATTCTCATGGTACTAAGATTCTTAGAATGTTCAATTGCTACAACAATGTAATCAAACTGAGGAGTAAGAGATTCAAGTACCTTATCAATGATCTTTTCTTCAGGGAGATTTTCTCCACGTGACTTTATCTCATTTGTGATCAAAATTACTCTGGAGATGTAGTCAGGTACCTTCTCATTATTCTTCATGTTGAGATTCTCATACTGCTTATGTAGAGACTTAAGTTCACCTTCTTCACTGATGCATCATCGTCGTAGCACCGTAACAGTGTGTTCCACGCAGCCTTTGTCGTCATTGAATCAACGATTTTCTCAAACACGATCGCATCCACACACTGATAGATGTAGAACAACATCGCATGATCCTTCTTCCCCAGATCATGCTGAGCATTTCTCTGCGCATCTGTTACATTTGCTAGAAGTGCAATTGGAACGTAACTGTCATTGACGAGATCAAGAACATCTTGAGCGCCAAACAACACATGCATCTGAATCATCCACTGATTCTGACTCTTGTCATCGAACACTAGAAGCTTATTACTCAGATTACCATTTCCGTTCATTTTCAACCTTGTGCAATTCACTCAAATCTCACCAAACACTAGTATTTTTCAATCCCGCAAAATAAAGAAATGTGATTCAGTTATGATTCCAATAAATAAAAAGTTCAACGTGAATTCAAGAAACAAAATCATTCACACAACGCCTCACCGTTCAATCATGTTTTCCTGTGGATCTGAACTAGAGCTCTGAATACCAATGGTTGGTGCATAAGATGAAGAAAATGAAGATGGAAGAAGAGAGAGAAAAGAGATAATTGAATAACAAACTTCTATTACTCTTGCAAAACAATTACAATAAATGATTACAACTATTCTATTGAAAGCTATACTTGTTTAAATACAAGTAGGAATAACTAAAAGTATTGAATTACCCTTCAACAATGTTCTTATGTTGTGATTGTGTTCTTATTTTTTTTTCTATCTTTGTTTTGTTTTTTTCGACAATTATATACATAATTTTTATAATAAATTATGATAAATTTATTTTAATTTTTATTTAAAAGATATAAATATATTATATTAAGTTAATTATTTAAAAATAAATATTTATTGATACAATAGAAGATGACATTTAAATATATAAAAGAATACTAGTACGTGCTAGCATTTAAAGCTGGGGCATTATGTGTTATATCTACTATTTGTTTGGCATCTCTTATAGGATTAAGCCTCTGCTCCAGCCGACCCACCTACTACAAGGTGTTTTTTGCTTGCCTCTATTTCTAGAGGCACAATAACATCTACTTGAAGAACTCTTTGTAGGAATCACATTTCATTTAATAGATAGAGACATGGGAGTGGCTGGGAGTTGTTAACATTTTTAATTTTATAAAAGTTTGAGGACTCTTAAATGATATTACAATTATTTGTGATACCACTATGTGAATTTGTTAACATTTATTACCAACTTATTTTTTAGTAAAAACTAGTAGAATGTTAAATAGGTGTTAGTTGTGTACTATACGATTTGCTTTAAAAAAAGTTAAAATGCTAAATAACTAAAAGATGATATTTTATTTCACTTATGAATATTGCATATTTATTAGAGGAAATTTGATATCGTAGTAAAGTAAAAAATAAAATAATAATTGCAAGATCTAGCGCTAAGGTAGAATGTTTGGTCATGCAATTATAAGTTTATTTGGTTAAACCAATTACTTAAAGGGCTTTTCACTTATTTATGATAATTTATGATAATTAAGTTGTATTGCATATTATTTTAAATACAATATTTTTATGATAGAAAGACCTTATCTATTAAGAGAGATTGTCGTTTTTCTAGAGAGAAAATGGAGACATAGTTACAAACTTTGTCAATTGATCAATTGAGAGATTACAAAAACTTTCGACTGAGTCTTAAAATTAGTTATATATGTGATTAATTTAGTGCATTAGATTTATATACTCCACAATATATGATTAGTTTGAAAATATACTATAGTATATTTTAGAATTTTTTAATATAACACATTCCTTATATTATTCTTTAACATGTTTTTTTTTGTTAGTGACTGATTTTGTAACCAATTTAATATTTTTAAAAATTATTAAATCTTTCACTAATATCTTGAATTATGAGTTATGCTATATTGATAGAACTAAGCAAGACTTACGGTGTAAGTACCCCAAAAAATTAGATGACTTTGTCCACAGCCTTAGCCATTGAAAAGTTGCCATGAGTGATGACCACAAATGACAAATAGATATTTGTTTTCAATTCAGTAAAGATGCTCTTCATTTCAACCACTTAGACATCAATACTTTTTATGGTCAAGGTCGTGTAGATAAAGCCTATATCAATGTGCTTTCATCCTATTGAGTTTTAGCAAATCCTTAAATCTTAGCCACTTATATCTTATAGCACACTACTAATCAAAAATAAATTGTAAACAATTGGTAGTAATACACACTCATTCCAAGAAATAATTAACATCTTTTTAACATTCTAAAGTTGGTAATAAAGGCAAGATCTTAGAGAAACCTTCGCACTCTTACATCAATAATAATTTTATTATCATTTTTAACCGTTCTTAAACTGTTCTAAAATGAAAAGCAATCTATTTTGTATTCTCTAGCACTCAAAGCAAAAGAAGAGAAGCTACGAACATAGCTACATTGGACAAGAAGCAGAAAGTGACCTTAGGCTGTGCATTTTTGGGTTCATCACGAACAGGCAAAGGTGCTGTGGCTCCTTTAACAACATCAGGCAAAGGTGGCTCTACCACTTCAGATTTAGTCAAGAGAGGGAGTGGAGCCGGAGCCGGAGTTGGAGCCATTGAAATCTGGCTAATAAGTTTATAAAGACTACCAACTTGAACAGCTCTCATGTAAGGAGGTGTCTTATAACCCAAGTTTAAGCATTTGTTTTCTGCAGAAGAATATAAGACAGTCATTGTCAAAAGAATTGACAGATAACAAATTTGATGGTACAATAAAATTTTCTAGCACTTACTTCTGTATCTAGCGGCAGTTTTAGGGAAGTCTGTAATGATCCCGTCAATTTTTGCATACTGAATAAATGAATTGATATCTATAGTCGAATCTGATAAGAAATCCCATGCCTGAGATACGAACTCATTGCTGAACGTTTCTACAAAAACTGAGAGGTTAGAAGCTTGAAGCTTTGGCACAATCCTTGTTGTAGAGCTGGTCAGAAAGCTATGATCCCAAGGAAATACAGATTTCTTGTTGATAACCACAGCATCAGCAAAGCTTTTTATATCCTCAACAGCTTCATTGGAAGCATCATACTTAATCTCGTCAATCTTGTAGACAAGCTCATAGTTCGTTTTCTCCTTAAACTTCAGCAATACAGCACTATCGGTGGATTGAATATAAACTTTTTGGCTTCCTGTTTTATCATAACCTGCGCTTCTCAAAGCATCAATGACGGCATCAGTCACACTTAATCCCTGCTTTTCGGCAAGATAGGCTGCATTCTGATAAGAGAAGAACACGACATAATGTTATTCAATAGAAAATCAGAAAATTAAATTCAAAACAAAACATTTATAAGTGTTGTCACATTGCAAAAATAATGCATGATAGACTTAATACTTCCTATTCTTATTTCCTTGATTATGCAGGCCTTTCAAAGATCGAAATGAAACCAGGTAAACCAGGCATATGAACTACGTAATAAGTGGCGCTAAGCCATTTTCATACAAATTTGCACTAAATCTTATCAATATTTGTGTTTAAATAACATCTGAAAAAACGAATCCTATACACAAAAGATAGGCATGGAAAAACGCACCTCAACAGTGATCAAGATGCCTGATAGAGTAGTCTCATTTTTTGTCATAGACAAGAAATCTGATAATGTTACAAAAGTCCCAGAGTTCTTATATTTTGGATTCCTGAACATTTTGAACTCTGTTGCGAAAGGGTTCAAAATTGAGGCTGCAGGGAAAATAGAGAACAGAAATATGTTAGCAACTTTTTTATAATACTTCATATATTTTATTTCTTCATTTTCATCATAATGCAAATCAATAAAAACATTAGCAAAGTAGAAAACTATTGGAAATTAAAACTGCCTTGCTGACAAAAATATGGATATAACAAAAACTACGGACTAACAAAAGAATTTTAGAAACCTTGCACACGGAACTTGTTGGATTCTCCCTTTCGTAATTCTTTGTATTTCTTTGATAACAACAATACAATACTAAGGAAAAATACTAGCTATCTTTATCGTTATTAATACAGGCAATGGTTGATTGTGGCTTCCCTTTAACCGACCAAAATAACTAAGAGATAGAAAAGACAGCTTTTAACTAATAGTTCAAGATCCTTTTGGCATGAGCTATCCATTTACTCAATAACTATGCTTTGTCAAGATAGTTCCAATAGGTTCAGGTTTAATGAAAGGTGGCTAAATTTAATTTCCAACAAAAACACATACGGGAGTGAAAATTTCCGTGAAAAATTATATGTAAAACAATGGTTTCTATTAAAGCTAAGTTCTAAGCAAACTTTCCCCATTATTTCTAAATCACAGTTTGTTGCAATGTGTTTGTCTCTCTTATTCTAAATTTTGGCTTAGTAAAGTATCAGCGTACTACACAGCGTGTGTGTTTGGTGAACTGGAAAATCACAGTAAAAAGCCACTGTGGGACAGCAAAATATAGAAATGCTTTTAGACATGTCTGTGTCACCATTCACCATCATGAAAATATAGAAATGCAGAAGAATATAAGACTGCAGAATAACTAAAAACAGCAAAAATTTATTTGACTTACGGGTCAGGCCTTTTATATCAGTCCACGTCAAGTTGAAGGCAAATACGCCGTCACGAGATTTGATCTCAGGGATGCTAATGGAATAACCCATGAAACTTGTTTCAGCAACTGTGGTACTCTCTAAAAGATTAATGGAGTTTAAGCAAAACGGTGTTCCTTCCTTGGACATTTGAACGGGACAGTCAAGAACATCCACACCATCCGAAATGGCCTTATTATATGCTATGTCGGTACAAGCTGGATAATCTCCACTTGCTCCAAATTTTGAGATAATCAAGGTTTTATCTGAGTCATAATAAAAAAGTGAGAGCAACATGTTACTAACAATGAACACTATGTTATAATGCTCCTATAGAATGATGGAATAATGCACTGAAACAGCTAGAAATTATTAATGAACAGAGAATACATATTTCAAACAAAAATAAAAAGCACCTCTTTTCGTAGCATTGGTGTCAAGTTGAGAAAAGCAACCTGCATAATGAGAAGAAAAAACTCAACATCTTCCCAAATAGAAATACACTAGAAATTCATATCAATTTCATACCAATATCTTATGTACTACAGGATATAAAAGCATTTTAAGATTGATACAGAAAACGCCACTTTAGAAAGTTAATAATTATGCGAAACCTAGAGAATGAAAAATTTTATTTGCTTCAATGCATTGTAATTGTGGCAAGCCATTTGGACAAAATAACTTACCTATAGCTGCAGATGGAGTTACGGGATTATCAGACAGAACACCATCAACGGAGAAGGTACCGTTATCAATGAATTGGAGGTACTCAGCAAGAGGATCATAACTGTAATTAAAGCTAAGTAAGGCATCATTTGAAAAACCTGATGCATAAACTTCCAGTCCCACTTTATGTGCATCTGAGACCAAAGAGGTACGTGGCTGTAGATAACTAGCCTCTACAGGCCATATATATCCCTTGGGAACAAGAATTCCAGAAGCAAATGTCTTGATAAACGTAAGTTTTTTTAATAGCAAGCCATAAGTCTGATTGGTTGATGGGTCTGTGTCATTCTTATCGAGAAACCGGAAGACAAGTTTTGTTCTTTTTGCATTAACGAGTGGTTTAATACTTTTCAGAAAACCAATCTCGGGTGATGAGATATAACTAACACGCACTTTCTTAAAAACAGAAAGTACCAAGCTTTTCATGTTCAACTTATGTTGCCTGTAGAATGCATCATGCTGCAAAGTATCATAGAAAACAAGAGTTAGTTTTAGAACATACAGAAGACTAAATGTGGATAATTGACTATACATTCCATCTACCTGAATATTTAACCACAAAGCTGCTGTTTGTGTCATTTTTTTTATTAAATCATTGATGGTAAGAATCTGAAAACAGCCATCAAACTTTTCTGACCGATATCCTACACCCTGTCTTACTGTCCAATAACATTTAAAAAAGTTTAGAAACCATGAAAAGAAATAATTTCAAACTAACAAAAAAGGCAATAAGAGAAAGAATCTTATAGATCAACAAACACTTATATATTTCATAGAGAAGAATCAGTCCTCCACAAAATACTGATAAAACAAAATCTTCAACATGAACTAAACTTACAGCGGACTTCGTATAAATCCTCGAGGGTGTAATCAAGAGAAAAATATCCAGTGGTCTGTACACCATTAACTAAGTAACTCCTACTTTGATTTGGATAAACAAATGAGATTAAAGAAGATAGCTCAAGGTTGGGATCTGGAACGCAAATCCCAACCGCATCTTTCGTCAATTGCACGTCACACCATAGAGCGACATCTGCAACGCTTGTTTGTATAGCGAAATCATAAGCAGCATCGCTGGAATCTGGTAATAAACCCGAAAAACCACCACGTGCTATGACCAATGGCGGACTTCCTGCAAAACAATCACACAAAGTAAGTCACAAATCACAATGCACCTAGCATAGCATAGAGTGGAAAGCTCCTTAAATATAAATAATTATAAGCCAAAATAGAATGCATGAAAAAGTTGATGAATCAGCATTGATAAAAAAAATCTATTAAGCTAATTATGAGAAATTAAAACTAAGATCCAACCCTAATCAGTATTAAGTAAAACTAAGCTCAAATTAGCAACTGATAATTCAAATTTCATAAACACATTACATAAAAAATAAACCATACCAGTGAGTGTTTTCCATTGAGATCCATTATTGTTAGCAGAAACAGAAGAAGATACAAGTAGCAACTGAAGAAGAAGAAGAAGATGACAGAAAGCGCGTGGTTTACACATTGCACCAAATTTGAGAAAATGCTAACAGTGAAGAAGTGAAGTAATGAATTGAACCAAACCAAATTAAAGACTAAGAGAGAACAGTTAAGTACACGTGCCGGATGGTGATTGGCGGTGTTCACAGATGGCGTTAGGGCTGGCAATGAACCAAACCAACTCGAAGATAGTTCGGAATTCGACTCGACAATTAAATCGTTGAACTAGGTTCATGAACCAAATGAGTTGAGTATGAGCGAAAAATTAAGTTCGTTAACTAAATGAGCTGAACTTGAACTATACATAGTTCGACTCGTTAGGTTCATGAGTCAACTCGATTACATATGAAAAGAATTATACTGTCTTTAAGATTAGGTTTAAATATTTACTTCAAATCTTAGACAAATTTAATCTTCAATTTAGTAGTTTTTGAGTTAGACTCTCAAATGTATCTCTTGAAAGTTGTGTAGGTTTTGAATTAGTAGATTTCGAAGATAAAGTTAAATATCAATATGATAACTTTTATTTTATTTTAATATTTTATTTAAAAAATATATATTTATTTAAAATGTCAAATATACTAAAAAATATATATATTTTAAAAAATAGTTTTTAAGTTCGTGAACCATGTGAGCTGAACCTAATGAGATGAACCTAACGAGTCGAATCGAACTGTTCGTGAACTTATAACGAGTCGAGTTTGAGCTTAAAAAAAAGTTCGTGTCGAACTCGAACTCGAATTCGAACAATTCTTAACGAGTCGAGCCGAACTGAGGTGAGTTCGACTCGACTCGACTCATTTCCAGCCCTAGATGGCGTAAAAGAAAGAAAGAGCCATTTTTGATGAATTTCCATTTCCGGTTTCCAACGTCAAATATAGGGAAAAATCCAATTTAGGAATTATATTACCATTTTCATTAGTATGAGAAAATAAAAAAAAGAAAGATTAGAGAAGAAAAAACAAACTCTTTTTGTTAGGATCATGATAGTGATAAGAAATTATGAACCAATTCGCGCGTTTTTTGTTGTTATGAGCTGTAGGAAGGTGGAAACTGAAAATAATATGAACGGAACGAAAACGGAATATATTTGTACACACTAAAATAATACTAGTAAAAAATTATAATTAATAAAAATATTACAATGAAATACATATTTAAATCTATAAAATATATTCAAATATGCTTTTACGTTAATATAATGTGTTTTTTTTTCTGAAGAAATATATTTTCATTTTAAATTTTTTTTTGTATATTAATTATAAGTAAAAAAAAACAGTGACTATTCTACTACTTTAAATTTTGATTTGGTTGAATATAATGTTATGTCATTATTTTATATTAATTTTTTTAAAAATAATTTAAAATTTAAATTAATTTTATCTTTATAGTTTCCTAGAAATAGTTATTCATTTAAAAAAAATTACTGTAAAAAATATTCATCATTAATAATTTAAATTATATATAATAAATGAGGTTATGAATTAATGTTAGAAATCACAAAATAAAAAAAGTTTCTTGAGCAAACCAAGAGATGAACGGTGTAGTCAGACAAAAATTTGAATACTAGTAGGTGCTGGTTGCATCTGAAAATTTAATTAACAAGCTTTTTGTAGAAAAGAATAAATAAATAAACTTAGGTTTACATTTTATGGTTTTAAACAAAATTAGTAAATATCATTTAAGACGTCAAATCTTATTTTCAATCAATAAACAATTATGTAAATCAACTTCATTCGAAAACCTTAAATGATGTATTGAAAAAGAAATCCCAAAAGTTCACTATTAAATTTCTTGCTCACTAAATTTCTTGATTTTTTTTCAACTTAAAAAATAAAAAGGTAGCGTAATTATCAAATGAAATTGATATTTAGAAATTGATTATATGTTAAGTGGATTAAGGTCGAAATCGTGAACGAAATTATTATTTTTTTAAGTATTTCAAGCACTCTTAAATATATTTTAGAGTTGAAACGCAAGAATATCTAGAATCATTCAGCCTTGTATCAAATTTGTGTAAGATCGACGAAAATTCAATTAGTAGCGAAGAAAGTTTGAAATTAATTCAACCGGATATTCGATTTTGTGAGAGATGATATTCTAAATTCTGGAATGATGTATTTATAGACCATATATGTGTTGTTTCACAAGGTTGCGACCCTTGATGAAACAACACATTTAAACTAAACGTTGAATTGTTTTCAAGCATTGCCATTTTTCATTCCGCAATAACATTTTACGAAGTGTTGCTTCTCTTCGAATTCTAACCTACTGCAACACTTCACAAGTGTTGCTTATTTCTGAATTGAAACCAACCACAACGCTTCACAAGTGTTGCATTGTAAATTCAAAAATTAATCTTCACATAAATATTTTCTTGTCATTTTGGAACACACTTAATATTGTTAATTTTTAATAATTTACAACAATCTCTCACTTGTTCTAATAATGACAATACCAATTCCAGAAAAAGAGAAACAAAGAATGTTAATATTGTTAAGTATCTTTTGATTTGAACATAACCTTAGTAAGGATAACGCAAAGTTTAATCGGAATGTCAGATAGTTATGCTTTGAACCATTGTCGCTACTGCGAAAATCGGCGCCGGCTTGACAGGAGAGTCGCCACCGTGCGTTATTTATCCCTCAGAGCGGGAAAGGAAACGCTCGAAGTAAACCTCGCAAAAGACGGGAAAAAGGTATGGTCATCGCAACCATAGCCTGGGTTCGGGAGTCGGTTACGCAAGGGGAAGGTATTAGCACCCCTCACGTCCATCGTACTCGATGGGATCCACGCTTGGTGTTTATAGGTAAAAGGGTGTGTTATCTATCTACGCTAATGGCTGGTCTGAAAAGAAAATAAAAGGACAGGACTCGACAGAACATACGGTGTTCTGGGCCTACGTATTCCCTCGTGCAATGGGAAAGTCAGAGTCAACGTAGTTCGACTTCCTACGTCTAAACGGGGGAAAGGTTGCTCGCCAGGACATCGCGTCCTGTGCCTACGTACTTTCATCTGATATGAAAGATCAGAGCAAACGTAGTTCGGCTAACTACGGGTCAACAGGGGTTCTCACACAGCAGTGAGAAAACAAACGGGTCTCTAAGGCTCGGGAACCTACAACTACGATCTGGTCTCAAATGCACTCGGGCAAGAGAAAAAGGGATAACAATTGGTCGTTAGCGGGAAAGTCTCGATCGCACAGCCGCGAGAGAACAAAGGTTAGTCGTTAGTGTGCTCGCTAGGATATCGCATCCTATGCCTACATATCTTCGTCTGGAACGAAGAATCAGAGCAGCTGTAGTTCAGCTAACTACGGATCAAGCTACTCAAAAGCTCCTACAGAAAGGAAAGGGAAACCCTAGAACTATACCTGGAAAGGGGAATCTACATACTGCTATCACACCTGGTTAACCATCCTAAGGTCTATCATAACGACTCCGCAGAGGAGAAGTCAGAGCTCCTAAGGGATCATGGCAACAGGATTAAACCACAAACAAGAAACTGCATAGTAAAGAAATACTGAAAATATGCATGAATGCAACGACTAAACAAACAAGGCACAGAGGCCGTAAACCACAAAGGCAAGGGAGCTCAGCTCTACCGAATACCAACAAGCAAAGCCACGCAATAACAAACAAGCAGAAGGAGGACCACCTCAACTTCTCATGCACACAAAGTTTACTTCTAAGATGCACCTATTCAGAACTATCTAGATGAACCCCTAAGTCTAATGCAACACAACATCACACAAGTCAAACAATACAAAGAGACTAACCCTAAGCAGGGCCTCTAACAAACCTGAAACAATCTCCTAATAACTCTCTAAACAAAACTCTATACAAAGCCCTAAGCACAGGTCTAAGCAACAAATCTAATCAAAACCCTAAGCAAGGATCTAAACAAACTCCTAGGCAAGAGGAATCAATCCCATTCTCCAAGCTTCAGAACAAGCTTACCAGAGAAAGGAAGCTAAGCAGACAAGCTCATAGTGCCTTCCTCAGGAAAGTACCAGGAGGTTACTACTCAGGAGTCATATCCTATGCGGCTCGACAACTGTGATCAGTTTACATTCCTCCTCAGGAGGAATTAAACTCACATGAAGGCTCCGGCATCACGGGATACTTGAGAAACCTATATGCACTAAGGGAACTAAGTGAGCAGGCCCATAGGACCTTCCTCAGGAAAGTACTAGGAGGCTGACACTTAGGAATCGTATCCTACGTGGCTCGACAACTGTGATCAGTTTACATTCCTCCTCAGGAGGAATTAAACTCACAAGTCGGCTCCAACATCACTGGATACTTAAGAAGTCCTAGACAAACTACTGGAACTAAGTGAATAGACCCATAGGACCTTCCTCAGGAAAGTACTAGAGGGCTTCCACTTAGGAATCGTACCCCATGTGGCTCAACAACATGTGATCAGTTTACATTCCTCCTCAGGAGGAATTAAACTCACAAGTCGGCTCCAACATCATTGGATACTTACGAAAGAAGTGAGAAGAAAGAATGAAAGTCATTCATAGTGCCTTCCTCAGGAAAGCACCATAAACTCCCTTCAAACTTCAGGATCTCGAACCTCACAAACAGACAACAAGCTCCTAGACTAAGCCTCAATCCAATGCAACCTTGCAAGCTCCAACAGGACTTCCATCAGCTCCCACCTTGAGAAGAAACCCACAGGCCAACAAACCACAGAAGACTATCTCTGAAGTTCAACCACAGTTGAACTTCACAGTCAGAAGTCATCAAAACTTCTCCTATTTTCAGGCTCAGACAAATCACAGCAGGACACCCTACAAAAATCTATCAAAAATCTAATGGGAAACCTACATGGCTCTAGGGCAACATACTGAAAAATCAGAACAAAATTCAACACCAGATGAAAGAAATAAAATCAGCAACACAGACATATCCACAGACCAATTATTCAACATCAATAACAGTGGAAAAATGCAATTAAAATGAAAATGCATGATTAAGCTAATGTTTTTGCACTATAAAATTCTACACTGAATCACGA